TCCCAGAGCCTGAAGCTGCTGCGCTGCCCGGCAGAGCTGTGGCTGCCTTGGCTCTGCTCCTCCGTGTTCCTGTCACAGCTGTTCAATGGGGCACCTTGACTGTTGCCCCAGTAAGTTGCTGCAGCTTCTGTTCCATCTTTTCCCACCTCATTGACCAGACTGGGTGGTTCCATCACAGCAGGCACTGTGCTCTGGTGGCTTTATACTTTAGTTACAGGCAGGAGCTTTTTATATTTTTTCATAACCTTAGCCATCATATTATTCCAGAGAACACAATTACAACTGTTCTAGTCCCATACCCTTTGTATTACAGACCAGACTCTTATAGGGGAACTTTTGTAGCAAAAGAATAACTTTATTTGAGCCCTCACTTGCTTTTCTAACATTGTTTTTAAAGTTTCCTGTTACACCTGACATAACCTCTTTCATAGCCTTGCTTGGAAGGCTCTGGTGTAATGGCAAAATTCTGTACAATCTTTGTTGTTTCTCAGGATACACGAAGAGCTTTCACCATTTTGGTGAAACTTCTGTGCCTAAAAACCAAATTCATATTTTTGCTTTTCTTATATGAACATCTAAGGTGTCTTCTGAAATGAAGTACTTGGAAATGCTCATAGACTTTCTGGTCTCTCCAGTGGGAGTGAAGTTCTGAATGGCCATTGTAGCCTGGTCCCCAATTTTAAGGCAGGACTTGCAAAGTTTTTTTCCATCTGCAGGAGCAGGAGGATATTGATCTTGAGATCATTTCCACATCGGTGTTCCTCTGGCTTGCCTGCTCAGATTTGCAGAATTAATTCAGAGCAAGGACTGAAATACTGGGAGTTCCTAGGACTCACTCAAAGCCATCTGCACTGCTGCTCTTTAAAGCAGGGAGCATTCGTGGCCTGGGAGATGAAACCAGGCCTGACTCTGTGTTCTTACATTTGGAACTTGAATTCCAGGGTGGCTGGTAGTTATGGAGAATAAGGCACTGCATTGAATTTCAGTATGTGCTGCCAGTTTCTAGAGGAATTCTAGGAAAATGAATGACTCTTCCTTTTGTTTCCCAAAAACTGGTTGTGTTACAGCATAAATCCAATACTAGGATAGTGGTTATTTCTCCCTCTCTAGTGTGGTTATGAGCCTGTTGAAAAAGACTTGATATCATGCCATCCCTAGTGCTTCCTGTGTGCTTATAAAGCACATATTTGCATATGAATAGTTTGGATTGCTGATTTATTAAAGACTGAAAATAATACCTTTGGACGTCTTTTTCCAGGGTACTTGAAAGTTGCTTAGTGGATGTAATCTTCTGGCAAGAGAGACCTTCCAGTTGCTGCTGGATTTAATAGACTTGTGAAGAATGCTTCAGTAATGAACTAGAGAGTTCTGATTCATCCTCATCACTTTCCAACAAAACTTCCTTGGTAAAAAATTTCAGAAGTGCTTCAGTGGCTTGTTTGCTCTAAAGTTCTGCCTTCTTTCACCATCTACTCCTTAACTGATAACTAGGAAGCTTCTTGTTCTCATTAAATATGCAGTATCTTTGCACAGCCTGAATGTCAAGTGCAAAAAACAACCCACTTCAGTCTACCTCAACAGTGTGAGAATCACAAACCCCCTGCATAAACCTGAGTACAAATAAAAATAAGTGTTCAAGTTCCTTCAGGTGAGATCTATGGAGGGCACCAAATTAAGTGCCACATCCTTTATTATAAATACATGTTTATTATAAATATGGAATGTATGCACATATACACAGATCCAGAGTCCGCTATAAATCCTGCAAACTATCCAGGTTCATAACGTGTCTGAACTAGTAGATCAGATGGTTTTTTAAAAGGAAGGGCTTTGGTTTTAGTAGAAACTTGATGACTTGAATCCAGCCAGTCTGGCCCTCTTTCCACCTCTTCCATCACTCACGGCCTCTCATTTCTTGGATCCAAGCATGAAAGAGCTCCTGTAGATTCTGAAGATGGGACATAATTCTAACTTGTATGCTAATTGCTGCCTGAGCTTGTCTAGTTTGATGGATCTGAGTCCCGGGATCCTAATTTTGAGGCAAAGACCTAAGCTGGGAGCTGCTTAGGGGAGTTGCTGGAAGTGCATTTATCATGCCTACATGGTGAGGAGTTGCATGGGGATAGTCTCTGGTGTGCTTCCAGCTGCCAGAGTGCTCCTCAGCCTGCTGGCACTCGTTAGAACTAAATAATGACCTTGAAAGAACGCTAAATTGTATTTTGATATTAAGCTTTTCCTAAATAAGTCTGATAAACAGTTACTTCTACATGAATGATTAAAAAGGGGCTACTGTGCAACAATCTGAAATGTAGTCTGTCCATTGGTATCCACAGGTCTATCCATAGGTATAGTTGCCTTAATCCAGAGCAGTAGCCCCTGTGTAGCGAGGGGGCCGCGCAGTCGCGGGGCTGTGTCTGAAATGGAACAGGTCTCTCTTGATTTGAATGGCAGGGTGGTTAAAGCAGCTGGTAAAAAGCTTTCCTGAATGTGAGCTTGAATTGTCATGGGAAACTTTTACTGAGCTCTTGTCAGTGTTCCATTCTCTTTTAAAATCACCAAAACAAATATTTGGTTAGATTATCTATTTTTCTATTCAAAGCTTGTAATACTCGATCACATAAAAGAGATGGAGCGTTTCCCTGACCGGTCAGGTGTCAAAGTTGTTGATAGTGGCATAGGTTTATTTGTCACTGCCCTAATAAAATGCTGATCACTTTTTTTGTGTATGATTTTTGAAGTTTCACAGTTCACAATGACTCAAAGTGCAAGGTAGATTAAACCAAATGCTGGGATCAGATCCTCTCCGTGTCCTAAACGCACACGCTTTGTTCCCGACTGAGAGCTCTTTGTGTGCTGCTTGGCTGAGACCGTGGTGGCTTAGTGCCTGTGTAGAAGAAGGTGCTGATGTCTGGAGTAAGCAAGTGGTGGTAAAAATAAATTGTACTCATTGTAGGTTCAGGTTAAGAACTTTATAAAATTCATGTCAGGTTCTCTTGCTGGATTAATGTAAACTGCTTTGTTTGCAGGGTTTATTGTCATCCCAAAACCAGGCCAATTCTCCAAGTGGAACTGTAGTATAGCCATCACACTACTGCTAGCAAATCTCTGAACGCAGGACAAGAAGTAATGACAGTGGAACCAGGAGCTGTTCTTCAGGCAAAGAGCATCACAAATTTTAATGTGGCAGAGTGTAAACATGGAATTATGTGAATCACATAGTGACTTGCAAAGGACAAATGCAATGGGTTCTCACTACAGCCGATCCTGGTAGGCTGCTCACCCAAGGAAGAGTTTGCATTGGAGAAAAAGCAAAAAGCTTCCTTTGGTGCTGCAGGAAAAAGTAGTAACATATTTGGTTTTCTTTATACTTTTCAAGTCCAGTGTAATTTAATCTCTCTATATAAATATATAAATAAAATATATATATATAGTGTAAAATAAGATATGTTTCTTAAATTCAAGTAAGTTCAATGGTTAAACTAGTACTTCACCATTGTTTATTTTGCACTGATTTTTTTAACCAGAGATGGCTAGAAGACAGCCTGGAATGCACTCATGGAAAATGAAAGTCATTACTTTCTGGCTTCAAAATGTTATTCAGGAAGATGGATGCTGCAATCATAGATTTTTTTAAAACGAAATTGTTTTGCACTTAAATAGTTTAATGCTAATAGAGAATTACTTTAAAATTGGTGTTCAGACACCAGAAAAACTATGTTGTGGAGAAAAGATCCTTTGTATCTATTAAACATTTATTTTAATATTGTTGTTTTCAACGGCAATCGGCTCTGTATTATATGTATAAATAATGTAATTCAGTGATGGGGGAGGGGAGTAACGGATCATTACACTAGAGATTCTCATTCATTTAAGAAAGTGATATTTCTAATTCAGAAAATACATATTAAACTATCTTGAATATGCATTTTTGTTTACTTTCTGTTCAAATTCGATCACTTTTGATGTAACCAATCCTTTGTTGAATTAAATGTTTGGTACAGAAATACTATCTAAACTTTGTAGAACAAATTCCTTTCAAAAATATCTCACCTAGAGTATTACTTCTTATTTAATGGAGTTGAATTTCACTTAGGAAGGTGAAATACAATTGTTCTGTTCTCATTCCTAACAGCTTATCTCCAAACACGTAATGAAGTTTAAATACATCATACAGCACAAGTCTCACAGGCTTCATGAGGTAATCCTGTAGTCTCGTGTTTTTGGAGTTGGGAAGTGGAAGATCCCAGACTGACTTGGCAGTCAGAAACTGGGTCAACATACTGGAGTATTCTGAGACTCTTTTGTTTTACATCAGGCATCTCATTTATAATTCAATGCTCTTAAACTGATAAGTGTGGCAGGGTCAGACAGATCCATGGATTTGCAGAGGTTAAACGCTGTTTGTCTGAACACTCCTCATTTTTAACCAGTCAGCAACACAACACACAACACTTAAATTGTTTTCAGTAGTTCTTGCAAAGATTAACTCCTCTTTCCCCCCAGAGATGCTGCTCCATGTCAAGCCCCGGAAAATAGAAGCATCCGTCACATTCTTCCTTTTATCCTATGTAGCAATGATCACAATTGGGATTTTGGAATCCTGCAGGCAGAGTGGAATGGAGGCTGCTCGCCTGGGATCGTGAACTTGCCTGAGGGTCTACGAGCTGTATCTGAGGCACATGTTACTGCCCTTCCTGCTCTCCAATGATAAAGCCTGGTAGAAATTTTTTAATTACATGTAAAATTTAGACATTTTCTGGCATGAGAAGTGATTTTTTCCCCCCAGAAATTAACGAAAATTTTGGGAGAAGCAACTGCAGTGTCTCTTTGTAACTAAATCTTAATCTTGCTATGCAGCCATGTAGGGAACTGCTAGATATGTTTATAAGCTGGGAATTAGTTGCCTGCTTTATTCAAGATGGAGCTGTAGTTTGCAATGCTTATCTATTTGTGTTCTTCTAAAATACGAGGGATAGGGAAAATACTGAAACTGAGCAGGATTATTGTTCAGAAGTCTTGTTTTATTAACATAGTGGGTTTAACTGTTAAAATACAGATAAACCTTGTCACTGAAAACTAGTGTAGTTATCTCTCTGTAGACTTCTTTTATGTATGCGCTTCATACGGTCTGAGTCAAAATGAAACAGTTGAAAAAATATGCAGTAACTTTAAAAGACTTTTTTCCTTCAGCTGGAAAAATACAAAACCAGTATGAAAGAACTGCAGTATCAGGGTAACAACAGCAGCTACTCGTATCCATGTTGTCCCTGCCACAAATCCTAGTTCAGCAGCATACAAGGAATATTGTGTGGGTTTTCTTTTTTTCAGCCTCTTCTTTACTATTTGGGCAATCATCTAGAAGTTTGAACTGCTCGTGCCACACTCTATACCATAGGGAAAACAAATCTTATAGGAACAAATAGGATACTAATAACTTACCTGGAAAGAACTTAGAGTTCTGCTGTAGATACAGCTCTTAATAAACTTTTTCCTACTACATTAAAAAAATAACAGTGAGTGGAACACAAATAATCTCAATGTGGAATTTTAGCTGAGAGAATGAGGGTAGGAACAATACTTGCCAATTTGCAGTTTAAAGTTTGATGTATTATAACTATAAAGCAGGTGGGAAACTCAGGTTTGCTTATTCATCCAACTGCCAGAGAAGTGTAAATTGTTGCCAGAGGTTTAACAGCAAAGAACTTGTTATGAAATAAATATCCTTGAAGCTCTGTATGTGCCACACTGTGTAAGATCCACCTGAAAGTGTAAAAGAAATGAAAAAAAATTCCAACATGGTCCTTTACTTACTTCAGATTTGCAATTTTCACAGCAAAAATGTGACATTGCCATTTTCATGGTAACAGCCTGACCGCCCCAGATACAGGGTATGTGATAACACACAAGATGTTACTGTGGTAGCCTCTACTCTTCAGGTTAAAACTTACCAAGAATTCTGACTTTGTATTTTTCCTGGCATATGAATAATCACCTACCTGATATATTAATTATGACAGGAAACTGGCAATAACACTTTTGAAATCAAGAAGGTACCAAACTGTGCAAACACAATTTGAGGGAATTTTTTTTTTTAGTTGAAATACTTAAATTTCAGCATCTGTGGTTTGAGGCTTCTAGAAAAAGATTACAGGAAGCTACCAACACAATTACTACATCTCTATCAGGAACATAGTTCTGCTAATCTGAGCATTGACCTCCTGCTAGGTAAGAGAGCTCTTAGAGTGGAAACAATCTGTCAAATGTGGGTAGTAGGATTTGTCCTCTGTTTTTCGTAAGGAATTAACAACAGTGGAGAGCAAGCTCCCTTGGATCCAGTAAGTTACCTATTTTCAGACCATCATTTTTACTCCTGCACACTATGCTCAGCTCCAGATATATTAGCACTAAGCAACTCACCATTTTCCTCTACGGAAAAAACACTGGATAAGCTCATGGCACCTGCTCAAGAGTTCCAAAGGTAAGAAGTCTGAGGCTGCTGTTACATACACTGTGTTGCCTATAGACCTGCAGTCCTTAATTCCATTTCCTAAGTGCAGTATCACACCTTTCTTTTATATATGCATATATATAAACCTATGCTAGTTTTATATATATATATATCTTATATATTTAATATATATATAAACCTGTGGTAGTTATTCAGACAAATACAGGATTGCCTTATGGTTGAAGTTCTCTGTCAGTATAAGTATAAAAGCAGGACAAAGTAGAGAGATAATTAACTGGAACATGTAACAGAGCAGGAAAACTCATACAGTCACGGTGGTTTTATGTACCCTCACTGCACTTGGAGACACCCTAGTCAGGAGCACATTTTCTGCTTGGAACTGGAGGAAAGCAGCATCCATCCACATGGGTTTTAATAAAATGAGAAAGAGCAGTTACCTGTACCACTGTGTTCTGCTGTTTAATTCTCCCTTTGTTTTGATGTTCTCACTCTACTGGTGCAGAGCACTTCCTCCACTAAAACTCAGCTTATGGATTTGTTCAGTCCTAGTAAGAGAAATCTGCTCTTCCTCTGGCACACCTAGGACAAGTAGCAGCAGTACAGGTTTCCCTGCAGAGCCTTGTTTAAGTGCTGTAGCCTTATTTTACAAGAATTCTTGCCAGGGTGGGATATATTTCCGTTCTTGCTCTGAGATTCTGAAAGTTTGCTATGAACAAACAGAATAAATTGAACAAAGGTACGTGATGCAGGTGCACAATATTTAACTTGGATAGTCAAATTTGAATAAATACAAAAAAATTGCTCCCACAGTATGCACCACCACATTTACCCTGAGAATATTTTCACATTTTAAAGAACCTGCTAGTATATGTCATGTTGATCCTCAGTAAAGTATGTGAAGATAAACACGAAGATAAACATAAGATAGATAAGTGCTTTTAAGCAGTAGATGTTAAAAGGACTCATAAAGAACTTGAGTCTCATGAGCTTCCCCACATTCTGGGGAATTTGGGCGTGCTCAAAGTTGTCCAGAATCTGAAAGGTAGAACAAGGAATAGGATCTAATCCAGTCACAACAGAACCTTAAAAGTGTTGAGAGGCCTCTTCTAAAAAAAACAACCAACCAACCACAACAAAACCCCCACCTACTGAAGACCTCAAACTGAGAAGAATTTTTTTTTTCCCCCCACAAATGCACAGCCCTACAGAGTCTCGGAAGGAGCATAATGAGAGCATAATGGGCATAACTTTTATTCTAGATGACTTGTATCTTTACAAAATCTTTGTTAACCTATATTTTACTGCATTGTTTGAGCTGCATCTTAATTGATTAGAAATAAATAGTTTGGACTTAGAGCAGTAATCTCAAATTCATGCCTAAGGCTTGGACGTGATGTGCTCCCCAGTGTGTTTTTCATGGTGCCTCTCTCACAACACACCCTTTGCCTCCTGCTCATGGCTGGGTTTTTGAACAGCAGCACCCCAGTGTTTGGTTATGGAAAAAAACACTGATCACTTCCCAATTATGAGCAGACTAACTTTTAGAATTTATAAAAACCCCAAAAAAGTTATTTGCCAAACCTGTCCTCCATAAACACTTGGTAGGCAGATTTTTAACCCCACAGCTGAGTATGACTTGCACACTCTTGTTTTCTAAATAACAAAACTGTTCTGTAACACATCACCAAACTTAAGTATTGCAAATTAATTAATGCAAATTTTTAGATCTCAGGAGTTTTAAAATCAATGGTATCAAGCTGGAATAACGATTCTTTCCAAGTAAGATAAGGATGTTGCCCTTTAACTCTTACCTTTTATAGCAATAAAAGGTAAGCAATAAAACAGTCTATTAAATTGTGTGATGATCTGTGTGCAAAATTTCTGAAGTATGATGAGCTACATGCCTTCACTGTGCTTTTAAGCAACTGGTTGCAATATCAGTCCCTCTTAAGACTTTTGATTAAAGTTCAGATCAATGGCTTGAAGCAAACTATAACTAAATTTTACTTGCTTTCGAATCAGATAAAAAGTTGGTTTAGCTTTTAGCTAGCTTATAGTTGGGACCCCTGGTGGCCTAGTGGTTAGCATGCGGGACTCTCACCGCTGCGACCCAGGTTTGATTCCCCGGTCCCCCCGGGCAGATGGAGCCCATTAGCCCTGTAAGGCCATCCATCTATGAGAAGGTCACTCTAAACAAACCTACGTCCTGAGGACCTCACTGCCATTGTCCAAGCTTGCTTGGCCCCGGCAGATGAACCTTAGGATTAAAGGGTGGGCTCAGTTCAGCACAAGCTGTGTCTCACCTAAAAAATCCATTGCGCAGGCTGGAAAGGTGAAAGACCTTTCCCAAAAAAAAAAAAAAAAAAAAAAATCTTTGTTCGTGAAGACTGGCCATTATTATTATTAGTTACATAAAAATATTCAACAGTTACAGAAACTGCATCAAAATCAAGTATCTCATATGATTGCACAATCTGCACAATCTCAGTAAAACCTGAGGTGGAAGTTGCTGAATACAGGAGGAGAATAATTTCCAGAGCTGACCAAAAAAGAAATAAAATTTAAATCTAAAAAAAATACAGCAGTTTGCTGACATTGGTAATGTAATTTGAAAACTTACATTCTGTAGATAACATTCCATTCCTAATACTTGAGCTCAAAGAATCCTTTCATGTTATTTTTAACCAACCTCCTCCTCCACCAGGTTCTAAAAGGAACAAATACTTAGGAAGTTAAATGCAGAATGCTCTGTGCTCTGCCAGAACAATGCTTTAATTAAATATTGACCCACTTCAGGAACAGAATACCAAAATGATAGGAGAGCAGCCCTCAAACCTTGTGGGGTTTTCCTACAAATTGTCAGAGCAACAAAAAAACAGGCACTGCTGTTCTTGTTAGATCTTTAACAGCAGAAGCACGACTGGGTCTCTCTTCACTGCACAGCCGTGCTTTTCCTCACTCCTCTTCCTTCTAAAGCAGGCGAGTGGAAATGTTTCAGGGAAGACTTAAATGCCTTCTGTTTCTCAGACTGTTGAGGAAGCAACAGAAGTTTGAAATACGCTTCAATGGGCGAGTGAGAGTCTACACCTCAATGTTTGATCCAATAAATTTAACAGACTGGAACACAGGGTTTCCACTGCTTTCCTTAGGTGCCCAGAAAGCTGAGTGCAGTGTAGGAGTAGAACAGGAAGTCAATTTGGCTACTCCAGAAGAATTTAATTTTGGTAATTCTCAAAGAGGAGATCCATTTTGTTTTGTTGTTTGTTTTTTTTTTTCCTGGACTTTCCTAAGAGAATGCTTTTAAAGTAAATAAACAAGGTTCAATTTTTTTTCTGAGAACATCTTAAGGAATAAAATTAAAAGAGAAAATCCAAATAATCAGAGAAAAAACCCCAAACCTTGGCCAAATACTATTTCAGCTCATTCTGTTATAAAAATGACTTGCCTCACTTGATGTTTCTTGCCATCTTTCCTAAAGGAACTCCTTACAAAGCCTACATTGATGAACTCCAGAACTAAATTGGTGGAAAACTCTCCTCCTGTGGAAGGAGAGTTCATGCTTTCAAGGTTGAATGCACAGCAGAAAATAATTTATAGCTTTTCTTTGCTACTGTAGCAAGGGTTTTTTTGAGAAAAACCTATATTTGAAAGTTTTTGATGTAGTACTAAGTTCCATCTCACCTTGTCGATGCAGCAAACCCTTAAGAGTGAATACATTGAGCTTTTTCACACAGCTGATATATAAACAAAGTTTTAGTTTGCCAGAATTTTTAATCAGATCTTAATTTTTTATTTTGTGTCAAAAACAAGCTTAGGATTTTCCCAGATATCATCTAAATACAGGATAATTAAGTTTAAAAATTATATCTTTTTATTTGCTAAAAATGTAGACTGAAGCCCTGAAAAGGCAAAAGCACACTTTCTGTCTCTGCCACAACTTCATCTGAAAACTCTTTAAGCCAAAGGCAGACAGCAAAACCAGGATGGTGATATTTAAAAATAAAGGTGGAGCTGACCCTTTAAGTAACGGTAACTCTGACAAAAATCTACTGAAGGGATTATGGGGTATCAGAGCTTCTAAATTCTAACTCATGTATGTCAGGGATTTGGGGGGAGGGGGAAAGGCATCAGACCAAATAAAGATCTGTGTTTAGGCAGACGGAATAAACCCAAGTAATCAGCTTAAGTTAAACATTTGTTTCTAGCTAACAAGCTCAGTGCTACAAATTACTTTCTCTAAATGGGCTGACAATTCTTCCACTTAAATACTACCTGTATTAAACTTGCCTTTGGAATTTGGCACAAATATGGAGGTACTCGCCCTTATGTATTTCTTACTAATCTTAGTTTTTTGTGCATGGTCAAAGCTTGTGTATCAGCTGCCCTAAAAAGTCTGGGGGAAAAGAGTAAAGAAAAACATCAGTTGTGCTTTAGGTGAGGTTTGGACTCAAGGCAAAGAATTACATTGACTTGAGTTACATTCATTGTATTGCAAGCCAAGAACTCGCCCTGGAAGCAAATTTCATTTCAGTCCAGCTGAAGTAAGGACAGCACTCTCCAAACTTTTTGATTTTAGTCTTCAAGATTGAAGTGATTTGAAGTCACTTGCCAGAATTCCTGAAAATAAGGGTGCTGTAATGCTTGATGGGCAGCAGTTCCCTAATTGTGGTCATATTTTATCATTGCATGCAGGAGAGAGAAACCTTTGGCAATCAATTTGTGCACTAGAGGAGGTTTTCCTTTTCCTTTTTTTAAAGGGGAAATCAAAATTAGAAATTCTTGACCTGTGTTAAGCAAGTTGAGGAAAAATTATTCAGAGGGGATTACAATTTACTGAAAAGAAAGAATTCGTCAGATTTAGGTAATCATTTATTAGGGACAAGTAAGTAGTACTTGGGAAAAAGACATTTTCTTTCCTAAAATGTTACATCATTGGCCTTAAAGATACTATGGAAATAAAAGGCCAAATAAGACTGACACAGGCTCAGATTTTCTCTGGTCTGACTGTCTCTGGGTAGGGATAGAAGACGCTGCTCTTGGGTCAGCATGGAATGAGGTGTTTGTGGTGGTTCCTGGAGCAGAATTTGCACAGAGCTGTACAGTTCTGTTGTGGATATTTAAATTGTGAGATTAATAACTGTGGGAGTGCATACTTACTGCTTGAACTTCTTGAGAGTTGTTTTACCAAGAGTGCCTATAATGTTGTGGATTTTTGAAATTTGGTCCAGCTCATTAGATCCAAGAAAACTGCAAGGTAAGAGATGGTATTAGCACTAGAGAAGACACAGTTAAACTAGTTTAGTTGCATAGCTGCCACTTTGATTAAAAAAAAAATTCATTTATAAAGAAGACAACATGTTAGAATTACTCATCTGTGGACAGTTTAATAATACCTACCAACAACTGAAGGATAATGTGAGGAGCAGAGCAACACAACTGCAGGTTTGGATGGAAAGAGTAGTTTGGGTTTTTAAACAGAAACTTGTAGCTGTGAACTCTCCTCACTGGTTTGGGTAAAATATGTAAAGAGAACATCCCTCTTGGTGAAGGACAATGGATCTGGGATTGTGTTTGCTTCTAGTAAAGTGGCAGATCCCAGAAGACACTGGGTTTTCCTCATTTTAAGACAGCAAGTCAAGCAGTCCCTCTTGCTATGTATGCACATAGAAATACATATTTATCACACTCTATTCCTAACAAACAGGTTCTTTGCAAGCAGGAATACTGGAAAGATGGTAATTTGAACTGCATTCCTGAGCTTGATCATCAGTTAATATAAAACTTGTATAGAATCCTTGAAAACATCATAACAGAGCAATCTGACTTTAGTCAGGTCCACTACCATTCATTTCCTGTACATGTTACTTTTTTCTTTGGGCTTATAATTTAAGAAACACTTCAGCAGCACCACATGACTCTTGAAAGCAAATCGCTCAGCCCTCTTTGTAGACAGGGTAAACTTCTTTTTAACTGTTTGCAAATTCAATCAAACAGCTGGCTGCACACTACTCTGAATGTCTTTATAAAGCTTTGAGTTGAGGAAGGAGAGAAAAGATCTGATTCACGTTGTGCAGCTGTATCAAGACAAGCAGCTGGGAGTAGCTTGTGTGAACAAAAAAATGTGCTGTCTTTGAATGTAAAACTGTAACATAGTGAAGAACAACTGTGCAAGCCATGAAAAAGTGCAATCCAGGAATCATGATTTATAAGGAACAGAAAGAGGGAAACCAAGATTTGAAAGATCAGCATGGCTGAGTAAAAGACTAAAAGTTCTTACACAATGCCATGTAAAGCATAAAGGCTTATGCAAACATTGAACAGCAACAACTGCATGATACACTGAAAACGAAACAATCCTGTCCATTACATCCTCTAGCTTGGCAAGACTCTTTTAATTTGGCAGTTTCCAATAAACATCCCTCATTTCTCTCTGAGCACACCTATAAGGTCTCTGAAAATGTGCAGTGGTTGCAAGAAGTGAAATTTTTTACATTAAGCTAAAATTACGAGGAAATATTTTTAAGGGATTTTTTTTGCCCAAAGAAAACTTAGAGAGTTTGCAGTGTGTAATTTTCTTGCCAAACTTCAAAGCCCACCTGATTCAAACTGAAATGAAACAACGTGGCATTTTTAAAGCTTTTGGTCCCAATTACTTTGCAAGAGTTCTGCCACATTTGGGATTTTTCTATTAACAGTTTTCTGGCCGAAGCAGAACTGTTTCTATAAGTTAGCAGGCAAAGCATAATGGTTGTCATTTAATGTGATGGTGATGGCAGCAGCTGCACTTGCCATGTGGAGGAGGAAGAAAGAAGCAAAGCAAATGTTATCACTCCTGGTTGCATATCAGAGACAGCAGTGTGGGAGGAGAATAAAGAAGAACTGCTGCTGTTGCTAGGGCACAAAGATATTGGAGAAATACTCATGGTGGTTATTTTTCCTTTTTTCTTGAAGACTAGTGACAATTTTTTTGAGTTATAGTTTCATCATCACCAAAAAGCTTAAAGGACTTTAATCTGGGTTTTCCTGAACTGTTTCTTCATCAGAATCCGATTTCAAAATATCCCAGCACACGAGGTCTTAAACAGCACCACAGTCTTAAATGCACTATTCTATAAATCAAAGTCATAAATCAGAGGGAGTGTATTCTCTAATCTCCTCTGGTTTTGCAAAAACTATTAGTAAGTCCAAAAAGAGGGAAATATTTCATCACCAAGTGTATTAACTAGACTGAGAACAGTTAGTGATGCTCATGAGAGGAAATGAGCCATACTCTACACAGAGAAAAGCAGAAAAAGTAAAATTTTACTAAATATGAAGTCGTTGGGGGGGGAAAAATGTTATTTTCTTTGTAAATAAAATGGTTGTAATGTTGGTTGTACTATGTTCTCTTGTATATGCAACTGCTTTTATTACTAACCTGCCATAGGGTGAAGAGAGTGCTAGGCCAGACCGGATTACTGCCTCATGAACCCTGCAGATTAAGCACAGAAGAAGCTTCCACAAATCTATGGAAACGAAGATCATATTACCACGTGCCCTTAATTTATTTACTTTTGATTATCTTAAATAACAATAAGAAAAGCCCTCCACTGAACACTGTACCTTGTACACAGCCAGCACTGCACATACCCCTTTTGTAACTTTAGTGGCCATTTGCAAGCAAACATTCAGGTGTTTGGTTCCAGCGTGGGGAGGCACATCCCATATGTGCCTGCTGAGAACAGATACCCTACAAGATCCAGAATCTCCCAACTTCAAGGTATTCTGCTGCAAAAACAAGTAATGAATTTCAACAAACTACAAACAGTGAAATATTCAATCAAATATTTTCCTTAAATGTGTGAAGTCATCATAAAAGAAATTACAGATTACTTTAAGAAGAAACTTTCCAAAATACCAGGGGTATCATAGCAGTAAAACTGCATTTAAATAGCAAGTAGCTCCAGGCTTGAAGGTAATCTCTGTCCCATAGTATGTGCATATACCGTTCTGTACATCATTAAAAGAAAGACCTAAGAGTTAATCGAAGAGCATATGGACTACTACTGAAGGGAAGGCTGCTAAATAGGACATCTGGATTAAGTTATTAGAGTTCTTCTGTTTAGCAGTGATATAATAGGTGGCTTTGGCTTCTCCTGTACACTTCTGTGACTTAAAAGAAAAATTTACCTCTAGAAAATAAAGTTGCATAAACTGAATTTAAAAAGCCTTGCTTTTCAAACTTTTAGCAGAATAACCTTCTGAAACTGTCAGGAGAAATTATTCCAATGAAGAAATCTTCTGAAAGCCAATGTCTTCTTGCTTTTGTATAACTTCCACTAAATGTAGGAATTGAATGTAGAAAGAAAGAACTGCAGAACTGAGCCCTACTACTTGTGTCTAGGTTAACACAAAGGAAAATATATATTAATAGAGGATAAGAACAGGGTTTTAGATTGCAGGGAACACATGCAGGCTGTAATACACGTGAGTTATTTCAGGTTTTAGCTAGTAACAAGCTTGCTGGTTCATTCCCCTAGATCAGGAATACAGGATTAGAGGTAACTGTGTATATTTTTTTTTTAAACTGCACCTTTATTCATGAAGGAACATTACCTTCTCAGAGTTAAATATCCTCACATGAAATTAATTACCTTTATTATTTTTTCTGATTTCACATCTCTCTGAAATATCCTATTTCTGTACTAATATAAACACACTAGAGAGAAGAATTCAGTAAAAAGATAAACATTATCAGTGCTTCCAGTTATTTGTAAAAAAAAATACTTAGAGAAATCAACAGTTTTTTTAAACTTATCAACAGCATAGTAAAAAAATGAGTTTTGCCACTGTGGTGAGACAACAGCGACAGGTATTGGAATGGGGAACAGGCAAGTCCAGGAAGGGGAGGCCAGGCTTTCTGCTTCTGCTCCCACCAGGACTACCTGAGGATTGCAAGGGCCACCCCCTCTCAGGAGGGCTTCCTGCCGCAGGTCCTCGAGCTCCTTTGGGGTGCTGCCAGCAGCTCGGGCTGCTTCCAGGGCTCTGCTGCAGGCAAAGATGCATCTGGGCAATGGCCTCTTCTCTCCCTGCAGGTGTCGGCTGCTGCCCCAGACAGTTCTATGTCTCTGCTTAGAAATACTCTGAATTAAATGTATGCTACACGTGCTGTAAAGTTGTTGCTGACCCAGGTCTCTTACCTATGTGTGCATTCGAGATTTGCATAACTGGTACGTGTTGTTCTTAATTTTTTTTCAGGCAATGGCTTTCTCCTTCCTAGAATAAAATTTCAAGTTGTGTAAGTCCTTTTTAGTAAAGAACAGAATACAAATACCCTACTCTTTGGCTTCCACAGATGCTCTGATATCACCTTTTTTGATTATACTATTTCTGTCATTTATAGCTAGCTTTGTAATCCATTTTCCACTCAACTTCAGACATAATTTAGATTTCAGTGTGCACCAGAATAGCTCAGCTAACAACTGTCAATTCAAGAGTCTGTAAGCTGCCTTAGTTTTTACTGCATGTATTTATTGCAGTATCTGTTCCCCCAAGTTCCACCAGAACTGCAATATTTCACTTCTGAACATCTAATTTCCTCTCTACACAAAGCAATTGTCCTTAAGGTTCAAGATTCATATCAATCACCTCAAGTTACCACAGTGCTTAAATGACTGTGATTCACATTTGAATTGCAAATTAAAGGTTAACTCGTGTAGTTTAGCTTGCTGTTGCTGTTAAGCAATAATTACAGTTATAAAATTTATCTATTTTTCAGAGCCATTCAGTAACTGCTCAGCTTTTTTCTTTTATAGGCTCCAAAGGCCTTTTAATCTTGCTGTAATGCCTTTATGTAACACTGCAATGCCATCAAGGGAGGCAGAAATGATCACATTTTTGAAAAACAAAGCAGGTACTGATCTGCCTGATGACAGTAGTATGAGTAATTGGCTGGGGAGGAGGAGGGAGATTATCAGGACAGTAACTCATTGAGGCCACCAGTCCTAGCAGCCAGCGGGACTTGTGTTCCCAACTGATTACAGGGCTCCTCCAGGCAGCCACATAATCCACTGAGCAGGATTAGATCACAAAGCACTTAGAACACAGTACCACTTACATTGGGAATTGTAGTGGTAGTGCCCCCATGGAGATAAATGGTGCTTTCAACGTCAGGATTTTTGTCATTTATAATAGAAAAGATTTTATAAAATGCTGCTACTCAAATCAATTGGGATTATTATTAGTATTTAAGAAATCAGGCCTTCATAAAAAGAAGTCATGCTCAATTGCTTTTTCATTACAGTTCACTAGTAAAATCTGGAGCAGATGCTACTCTGCTTCCAAATTTATCATTAGAGAAACCTTATTTGGCAGCAATGGTGAAGTGAATCCTAAGGTAGTGGCACTTGAGGCTTCTGTCATTTCACTTGAGGCATCCCTCACACCTCTCTCTGAGACGTACTTTTTATGTTGCTTTAAATGACCAAACTGCTCTTGATTAAACAAAGGGCAAGACTCTTTTTCAGTTATTAAATGACTTGTGATTCCACCGTCAATTAACAGCAAGAGAATTAGGACTTCATGTAAAGACAAATAGCCTTGTCTTGATTGAAGTAACATGGATCTCTTGGTTTATTAAGGAAAAAACAAAAGTATCAACTTTCCACATTAGTAGCATTACAGTGACCCATTCTCCTAATTACACAAGTGTCTCCATACACCTTGTTAAATTAAAAATTCATTTTCAGTCAACCCCTGCTTCAAGTTTTTCTTCATTACAAAATATTGTACAAACCATGCTTGCCTCTAAATCTTTCTAATGTAAAGATTTTTTAAATTGTTCTTCACCTACATTACACCTGATTTTGCAAGACAGAGCAGTCAGGAAATGACAGGCATTCGCGTTACTATACACTGTAGAAACTTACCAAAGACTACAAATCCTCCGAAATGTAACTACTTTTGTACCCTCTGCAAATGGTTTTGTGACAGAGCATCGCTAATGAACAATTTAATTGTTCTACAAATTAGTAATGCACTCCTTCAAATCACACTGCTGAAAATTCCAAAGGAGCTCCTTCTACTTGCCATTGTTGTGTAAAGATCCTCAGTCAGTAAGGCTGGGAAATAAGATTTCTGGCTCAGAAATAAGATTATTTTTCCAGATTAATTACGTACCTGGACCCTTTGCTGTATTTATTGTTGTTACATTTCTTGACTTTGCAACAAGCCACAACTAGAGTTGTTTGGGGAGAAAATGGATAAAAAACTATTTCTGCCCCATAGGAAATTGTGGTAAATGGAAATTTACTTTTAAACTCCAAAATTAATTTCTTAAAAATGCACTATACCTGAGACAGATTAAATGCTTGCATACTTCAGAATATCAAAATACTTTTTTGGGTATTTATTATAATCTCCATAGGAATCTGTTGTTCATTTTCCTGTTTTATTCTATGATTTGACAAGCTCCACCCCATGTGCCACCACCTCATACAACATGAAAAAAAGACACTGTATCATGGGAAACACAGTCCAGACACAAAACCAGACCATAAAGAAATTCAGGTAGACCCAGATTAATGTTCAGATAACCCCTAACTGCAGCATTTCAGATTACTATTGAACATAGATTTCATTTTTAACTGATTCACCGTGCCATAGAAAGGGAGGTTATTAAAACTAAGTGGCAGGAAGATAATATTCTTATGGAAAACCTGACTTTGATGAAAACTGTATTTAAAAAAAAACAAAACAAAACCAGAACATACTGAAACTATGATTCTAATTTTTGTCTGAGTACAATGCTTGATATAGCAGGCTTTTTCACATGAAAAGGAGAGAAACACTGAGAAATGTAACCAAATGAATGCAAGTACTCTGTTGTAAAAAAAAAAAAGGCAGTTAAAGAACAAACTTAAACATTCTGATTTTTCATAAATGAAGTACAGTATTTTTCCTGGAAGACGATGCAGGATTGTTTTTAATAAATATGCAATTACTCTGACTTCTCAGGATAACAAATCTATCCTGTAAAAACAAAATGTCTAACTAAAACCAGCAAACACTAATGTCTCCTTCAGTCATCAGCAAACAACTGTATTCTAATCTCACAGTCTTATGTAGGTCAGAAAGAGAGTTACTCCTTTTGTTAGAGACCTGAATGCTCAGTGTCACGAATGTCATGTTCGGGAGCAAGTCTTTGTTCTGTTACACTGAATGACAGTTGCGTGCTCAGTTATTTAAAATAATCTCCCAATTGTTAAGACATTACAAATTCTTAATTATTCATTTTAAAAAATCCTCTTTTAATAATGAATTGTAAGTACATGTGCCTTCATTTGCTGTATATTTCTCCGTTAGTGTTTATACAAGATTTGTTTTAAGTCAGATTTTGTTCTAAACTTTTTTGTAGGAACTCTTCCTTAAGCTTTGTGGTCTCTGACATGCTTCCACAAACAGCTCCAGAATTTTTAAATAATGGTGGTTTCAGGGAACAATGTTATTTTATAAAGGAAACTTGGTAAAAGGCATTTTTACTAGATATAAAAACTGAAAATCATTATTCATTGGTTCAATAGTTTTGAAACAAATGGGAATAATTTTCTTATTACCTCACTGCAGTCCTGCCCTAACAAATCACAGAATCACAGAATATGCCAAGTTTGAAGAGACCCACAAGAACCTGTTTAAGTTTTATTTTTTGTTACATAAAGCAATTATTTTCTCTTTTGTAGTCAAGGTTGTTTGACTGTAGAATAGATGGCCATGGACCTGATGAGAAACCTGCATTCATGCCTTAAACAAGTGGGTGTATTCCACTGACAAGAGCTAATGGGAAAAGCAATACAGCACAAAATTTCCCTATGAGTTTTATAATCTGTAACAGTGAACAACCAATTGAAACATAATTAATTCCACTTTGTGATCTACACAAGGAGAATTTGTGTGTTTCTTAAGCATATGCTACATACCTTTTATCAGCTCATAAATATCCATGTCCATAAATTCACATAGCCAGCGTTTCTATCACTGCAGGAAAAAGTAAGGAGATTTTAACCTAGAAATAAAACTTACATGTTGATTTGTACACACCATAGAAAAAAGTACTTAGTTTAACCAGTATTAAAATGGACATTTTCATTTTTAATTGATTCTATCTCATAGGAGTTTTTAAACTTAAGTCTGATGTATTATAGTTTTAGTTTATAAAACAAAGTGTCCACTGCAGAAGTTAACTGATTTACTCAATAAAGATGTCTTCTGGGCATATCACTCTGTTCAGGAACAAGAAATTTCCAGTAAATTAACTGATACAGTTTTACAATAAAAGGCGGGAAAGCCATTACAGCCAATATGTGAAGATACTTTCTAGTTAGATCACCAGTAGTGTTCTATTGCATGGAAATGAGTATCTGACTGGAATCACCGTTTTGCTGACAACAGCAATTTAAAGTATAATCATGATATAATATATCTGACACTTTATTTTCCATTTCACTGCCCTGCAGAGGCAGACAGCTTTAGGTCTTCAGTTTTCCCTGTAAGATAATTGCATTACAGCACATCTGCCCTGCAATGCTGTGTTAACCCAGGCAGTAAAAGGTGGGGGTACAATCTGCAGTTCAGCTCAGACAGACAGCAGGAGCTCTGTGAGCTGGCTGACCAGCTGGGTTACACTTGGTAACAACACGGCAGCTGAGGCTGAGAATTCCAGAAAGCCAAGCTGCTGACACCATTACCGGCTTCCCATGTGTTTGTAGGAAACAGGCCTGTCATTAACAGTGTAGCACCCGAGCCTTGAGCAGAGGAATAAGACAGCCTGAAGGGCAATATAACATATTTTAGAGCAGTTGACAAGTTTTGTGTCAAGTATTTGAATAATGAAGGCTATGTCTGCTGTTGCAAAGCAATGGAGAGTAAATGCTGTCATAAAACGTGATCACTCTGTGAGACAAAACATGTCCCCAGAGGACACTGAAGTGCCTAATGAGTATAAGGAACCCAACTTCATCACTGACTGATCTCTTTCCAGACGCACACTCAGCTGCTCCCCCATTCTGAGATCTAAACTTTTACTACTTGCAAAGGGGTTTCTGTAAAGTTACCTGTGAAATGACACTGCCAAATAGTTTGCCTCGATCCCTAGTTCAAACTGACAAGTCAAACCAAGATCCTTGAAGTACCAGAGCCTATTCCAGCAGATAAGCTCTGTGTGCCTAACCAACACACTATCCCAGCAGCCATGATGTGCAATGAAAGCACTAAACTGGATATGGAACATAGGTTGAAATCACCAGCAAGTAGTACATATTATGAGATGAAATTTAACTATGCTTAACATATATTTAGTCTGTAATTTTAATATTGATGTTAAAATATTTTTTGTCTGCTGCAAAAGAGACAGAGAAAGTGAGAGCTACACCAGACTTTCTTAACAAAGGCAGGGATGTAGACTTCAGAATTTGAGAAATGTATTGTTTTTTCTTTTTTGTTGAAATAAAAAGCTGGTTAAGTGTCTACAGGTTGTCTCTAGACCCAAAAGTTACTGGATATTGTTCAAATAAAGGAATAAGGAAGAAAGAAATGAATGCATCAGACTTAACAAAACAACTTCATGTAAGCATAAAGATAGTAGGATGTGGACTTGGCCTCCTTACTGCCTATATTTCTCTCAGATTATTCCCTTGTTTCATACTGAAGTTGAATTGAAAAGACTGATTTGAAGTCAGGGACTGGATTATAATTGTCTTGGTTCCCTGCCACGAGACTGTCAGAACCTACTTCACTCTAGTCTGTCACTGAACTTTCAAATGCAGGACCTGACAAATGGTTTGCCTGCTGTTTCTTTACTGAGCAAATCAGTAATTAGTAAATGGCTTTAATCCTTCTTGCAGCCTGGAGTAGCTGGACTTACCCAAACAAGAAATGTAGTAACGTATTGTGCTCCAACACCAGTTACCACGCCAAGGAGCTACCTGGCAGGAATTTTGTGTTGCATAATAGTATGTATGATATTGTTTCCTCTGTGCTGGTGCAGCATACATTCCAAACATTGCTCAGCATGATGCCTTGCCAAATGTAACATTTAAAATTAACCTCTTACATGAAAAATAGACATTATTCAACTACTGTGTAATTATTTTTTTACCCTCCTGGACTTTAATAAACAAACAAAAAAAACATGCTACAGAAGCTCTGTGGAGGATGCAGGAAATAAAGAGCTTTGCACACTGTTGAATGGATCAGAGCAGGACACATTCGCCTTTGCACAGTCAGACTTAAAGCGAAACACCAAAACAAAATTTTCCACTTTGAAGTGAGGAGAAATACCTTTTATGGGCAGGTTCAGCTTAAAACACTGTTATCTTTGCTAAAAGAGTTCACTTCATCAAAAGAATCTGTCAGTCAATTTATCAAAGGGCTAAAGGCCTAAAAGATGTTTTAGATAGCTACATGAAAGAGTCTGCTTGTTGAGCTCTACCACTAAGTTGTACACATCTGCCCTTGATAAAGTTAAGGAGATGGTTTAAATACTGTTTTCATCATAAATTGGACAATTCTGTCTGTTGTAGGAAACATATAAATGGACCAACAGATCTCTAACAACACGACAGAGAATCAGAAACCACATTACTTGAAGAAATTTAGTCCTTTTTTTTTAACATACAATCTTTGAAGCTCTGAGTTACATTGTGAAATCTCACCTAAGAGCAAAATGTCCCATTTAACTTTGTACAAATGACTCATTCCCAGTGATTTCACTACGAACTCACTATATTTAACTGCGAATACAAAGTCAATAACCCAAGGGGCACTGGTTGGCACTTACGTACTTGGAGGAGAATGTCAAGTCTATGTCTACACACAGCCCTCTCCTCTATTTTCCTAACTGATAAAAAAGCACCTATTTTGTGACCATATAACGTCCAGCTGAAGGATGTAATTAAATATAAATGCAAATATGATGTAGAACTAATGCTATACGTGGACTAAGGATAAATACCTTCACTAAAACAGTATTTAAATAAGACTGAAAAAAGCATTCTCCAGGGAGAGGACTGACACATTTCCTCCTCCCATTATTATTTACAGTTAAAAGAAAAACAGCACAAGTCCATTCAGTGCATTTGGCAAGGCAGAAATCAACTGTTTAGTTCTCATTCATCTTATTTTACCCTTGACCCAGTGGCCAGGCAGCATTTAATGCAGTGGATGACATCAACTGGAGCACTCAAGGAAATAACCCCCCAGTGCCAAATGGGAAGGCCCTGCCTAAGCAACAGCAGAGTTCCCTTTCTGTACCACATGCAAACTTTTTTAAATCATGGCATTCAAAAAACTTCACTTAGTCTTAATTCTGTATTTTCCCATCAAATTTAAGTAAGATTTCCAGAGAATTTCTATGATTAATTATGCATACCTTTCAAAATGTTGCTTCATGTGTTTACATGCATAGTACTTTCCATTCCTAAGACTCAGTGTCTGCAGGACATCAGAAAATGCTCCCTCTCCTATCTTACCAACTGGTATCCTAAAAACAAAAATACACTGTTTCAGTATGTTTGAAATTGTTATAATGACTGTATAACAATTCTTCATTGATTTGTTAAATGCTGACTAACGGAAAACTTAAATAAAGGGGGCTTTTTTTTTGTGAACACATAAGTTATTTGAGAGAAAACATAATGAAAAACAGCAAATGAAGTTTTGCTGCCCATATTACAGAAATCTATATTCCTGAAAGTAAAATACAGTAATTCTTAGACAATGAACTACCACCTTCTTGCTCAGAGACATGATTCCTCTGCAGGCAGCCCTTCCCACCTTTTTTCTGCTGCAGCACATTAGCAGCTCATATCTGAATTTATTCTTTGCTTCTCTCACAAAAAAATCCTCCAAAATCTCCAAACCTTTATTTACACTGTACTGAAAACATAAAATTATTTTGTAAAGCAAGTGTATCATGGAATCATTGTTCTAACACAGGGGTTATTTGTATTTTTGTTTAGGTTTGGTTTTGGGTTTTGGTTGTTTGTTTGTTTGTTTTTGGTTTTGTTTTGTTGTGTTTTTGTTTTGTTTTTGTTTTTTTGTTTTTTTTAAGGGAGGTGTTGTTTGGTTTTGATTTTGCTTTTTTTTTTTAAGCAAAGCAGTTCTGACTTTAAAGCTTTACTCCCATATTAAATTCAGATATGAGTTTTGCACTAAAATAATGTTTGCCTTTGACAATGAAGTGCTCCAAACATGAGGATGTGAAAACTCAGTCAATTCTAATTCTGCAGAACTTTAAAAGATGAAGCAGGTAAGATAAGAGTTATGAAGAAAGCTTTATTTATATTAATTTTTCAGTCTTCTAATTTCTATCAGAATTGACATTTCTTTTCTTTCCTCCTTTATTCTCCTTCAGCTTTGTGATTAACTGTTCCTTCCCAATCCCAGTGCCTGGTTACCTTCACCCACTTCATCCTCCTATTTCCTTTTATTTTTAGCATCTATAGATTCTATCCTTGATAATTTTTTCAGTAATTTCATCTGAGCAAAACCTAATTCTGGTTAGCTTTATGCTGCTGTTGCTTTTGACACGGTCTTATTATTTAAGGAGGATCCAAACCCAGTCATTTTGAGGGAGGCAGGGCAGGAAACTTCTTTTATCATATTCAGCCCTTTATGGGTGTCAGAATAACTGTGGGAGTTTCAAACTCTGTCGATAGCAGTACATTCAGTGTAGCTGCCTGTATTAATTCCTGTGACAACAGTCCCTAGCAAGGATTTGTCTTGTGAGAACCAACACTCTGTGAGGCACCTTCCCTGCCTGGTGTGAGGACTCCTTCTAAGGTCAGTTCTCAAGCAGTTTCTGTCCTACTGCTTTGTTTTGGAAGATAAGAGAATTTGCTAGTAGAGATGGGGGCCATTTCGTGCCAGTTGCTCTTTGTGTCCAAGATTTCCAGATATGTTTAATTTACAAGTATAAACACAGCCTCACAGTAGAGAAAGCCTGCCAAGAAATTTTTCAGAAGGAAAAGTTACTTAGGCAGGGGCATTCTAACATTGTCTTCCAACTAACAATCAATTTGTGTTGTCTTCATCTCTTTTCTCCTCCTCAGCTTTCACACTTACTCCCTGTTAAAAAAAACAAACCTGCAAGGAAACAACAACAAAGTGTTTCCTTTCCTTATGAGCCAAATGCTTATATTTTAATTTAGTAGAAACTTTCCCCTTGTAAACCTTCCCTCTTTCTCCAATACAGTAGCAGCACTTCTGTGAAACTGTTGGTTGCTCTTCTCATTTTTATCATCTGCTGCTTTGGTTTTCTGATCACTGTCCATCCTGCTGCATCATAAACTAACTAATTAGGCCACCTAAATTTGAAAAATTGGAAAATGCAGTGTAGTTTAAAATCATTCACACCTTCTAATACACTCTATACAGACAATGTACATGCAGAACTATTTTAAAAGCAGAAACAGAATTTGAAAATCATTATGGGTAAAAGAGGCAATTTCTAACAGAGACTCCAAAATAAAGAGGGCACCATGGGACTGTTTAATTCCTGTGGTTGTTATTTGATAACCGGACTGAGGAAATAACACACCTTGTCAGCAGAAATCACACATTGCACCGTGTTTTCCACCCTCACTGTAAGTTTTAATTTCCTATCTAAATTGCTAAATATAAAATGAAGATCATAAATTCAGAATCTTTAAACCTCACTCTTACAGAATTCCAAAGAGAAAGTGTCAATGGATTTTTTTGGTAGCAACTTATACTCTCCAACCAGTTAGAAACACAATGACTACACTTGATCATATAATGTCAGAGCCACCCCGTGACAAAAAATACCCAAGGCAGACACAAAACAAGTTAACTATTTGTTGACCTACTCTTTTATTCTAATAAATGGCAATCCCATATTTTTCTTTTCTCAAATGCAAGTAATTGATTCTCTGGCATTAAAAAAATCATATGATCTGAAAATAAGATCTTAATATCTATGGCATACCAGCCATAGTGTTAATGAACCAAAGTACTTAGGCAGGGAAAGCATTATTGTACAAATTTCTTGAAAATATCTTCATATATATAAAGAAGTTACATAGTATATGTTTATATAATTTGGATTTGTTTGTATTTTCTTCTATACATGTATTTTACTCCTATGAGAGAAGTCCAGATGACAGGGAAGGGCTCAAAACAATTTTAATTTTAAATTGAAGAATTCTAATAGTGCTAGAAGAGCTAATCGTTTACACAGTTTAAAATATTCTTACAGCACTGAAGGTGTTTCTCATGTAAGCATATAAAGCTTGTTACAAAATTTTTTTACAACAGAGTGCTCTGTAAACAAACACTCCACACATAACAAACAACTGAGCCTTCAACTTAAGAGAGAGCTACCCAGCAAAAAGAATGACAGCAGAGACCTGAATACTTTCAATTAATTGAACAATGTGCAGAATAAGGAATGAAAATAGTGTTATTTGAAATGTCTCTTTGAAGCATAAAATCAACATGTAAGCTCTGAACAATCAGCAGCTGAAAGAAAATCAGGCATTGTAAGAATAAGAGCATAGGAGTTTATATGGAATAAGATAAAATAAAATTTAGACTAACAAATTATTACAAAATTTGATTTTGCATCCACAAGCCAAGGTTTCTGGAGATTCCTAAAAATCCACTTCAGCACCATCCTGATCCTTTGAGAGTGACCAGGTAGCAACAAAACCCCACCAAAACAACAGACTTCAAACACACCCTGAACAAGAACAGCCAGGTCACAGCCCAGCAATTGTAAGCTATGAAACTTAGTACAGCTACAAAACAAAACTTATTACCAGTTAGATTACCTGAATTTATGGTACTCAGAGATGAAGATGGACAGAAAGGTTAAAAATTTTAAGACTGAAGGCTTCTAGGATGAAATCAAAGGAAGTGTTTTAATTACACTTGCACAGAACATTGAATGAAGGAGACCTAATCACTGGTTAGCAGTTCTTTCATGCCATCTGAAACAGATATTATCTAATCTCTCCCTTCCCTCCCTTCTGTTTCAGCACACAGAGATGTTCAGGCTTGGAATCGTTAGTGGAAAGGGAAATAAAGGTTAGGAAGAACAAGTCGTAGCAATGTGAACTCGTCTAACACCAAAAAAGTGGCCATGAATCATTCAACAAAATAACAGTTTCATGTGCAAGAGGCTACAGAATCTAGGAAATAAGGAACAGTCTAAATTAACATTATGGGCAAGTGATGGAATTCAAAGACAACACCACTGTAACTAGAGAGCATGGAAGATTAATCATCATTTGGAATTTAAAAATCCAATACAAAATGACAGAAAAGACAGCACTACAACAGTCAAAACAGGATGTTATAAAAATCTAAAGCAGACACTTTGTTACACAGATGCCAAGATGCTGAGGAAGAAAAAGCCATGATGTTGAAGTATGACACTGATGCACTGATGTGAGGGGAGAAGCAGCCAAAGTTAAAAAAGCTGCACAAGTTGAGCTTCGGTCACAGCCGCAAGGCCATGGCACATAATTATTGCACTCAGAGACACACCAGATGCGCAGGGTGTGACACGGGACGATGTGAAGAAGGATGCTAAGCGATGGAAGGAAAGACGTGCAGAACAAGGAAAACTTAGCAATTCCCGAGAAAGCATTTGGAGAGACCAGCAGACAGACAGGGCGATGCTCCACAGCAGTGGGACAAAGATCTATTCGCACCCTGTCATGGGACGCAGAGGGACCAGCGTTGGCAAGTAAGTTCCAGGAGCTGCCCACGGGCTGTGGGGACGGCGTTCCCAGGGGCTACAGGAACACCTACGGCCCACTCAGCGCGGGTGCTCCCCGGGGCTGCGGCCCCCTCGGTGACCACCGGCCCCCCCAGAGGCGCCAGGCCCCCGCCACCCCTCAGGAAGGGCCCGCGGCTTTCCCTCGCGCCCCCTTACTGCGCATCCCGCGCCGTTCCGAAGGTCCCAGGCCGGGCGGGCGAGCAGCCGCTCCCACCCCGGCCCCGCTGCCGGCGTTACCCCTCGGGCCGCCATGTTGTGTTCCCGTCGCCCCGGCAACCGCGCACGCGCCGGCCCCGCGCCCCGGCCGCTGCACACGGCACGCCGGGGGCGCGCACGCGCAGTACGCTCCCTTGCCCCGCCCGTGCCCGCCAGGTGAGGCGGGTTTGGGAACGTTTGTGCTTGGCTTAGTCTGTTGTTTTAAGGGAAAGGGGAGGCAATCCCAAAGTGAGCCGGCTGTCTGGACGAGAGCCACCAGGATGAGCAGTAACTGGGGGAAAGGTAATTCCGGTAGTGCGAGGTCGCAACCCATTGACCACGTACCCAAAACGGACCCCAGACTCAAATGGAAGGAAGAACTGCGCCTGCCGACTAATTAGCACGAGAAGCGAGAGATTTAACTAGCGAATAAGGGTTTGAGTACTCATTAATGGAAAAGCTATGTAATTTGTAACCAGTGAATGCCGATGCCTTTGTTTGTTAAAATGTATAACTAGCGTAAAGTTTTGATGATCAGTGAGCTAGAGTGTTGTGGGTTACTACCCAGTCCCCTACTTCGCGCAAACTAGAATAAAAAAAAACCAGAAACCCCTCGCCTCGGTATGTGAATTGTCGCTGCGCTGTGCGTGAATTGAGCCGCCTTCGGGACACCACCACGGGGCGGAATTCCCGGGGACAGCGAGGGGTTTAAGGAGGGCAACCCTAGGGCCATCGGATTAGTGCTCCATAAATCCAGCGGCGGACCCTAGCTGCTGTGGCCGGAGCAGCGCCTGGCGCTCAGGTTCATCCCCGGTGATGGGCTGATCCCTGGCGGATCCCGCGCGCCATTGCGATGCGGGGATGTGCTGGGATGGGATGGTGGGAGCAGCCTGGAGAGGAGCCCGGAGACCACAGTCCGACGTATAGTGAACCAGCCTCCACAAAAAACCGCTGCATTTTGGAGCGGTGTGTCGTCGCCCCTCGCCCCATTGTCCTCACCCCCCCGGTGTTTGCCGCTTGCTAAAACAGACATCGTGTGTTTTAACGTAGACTTCAAAGGTGAGCAGAAAAGTTATGTTGTAAATGCTGCATGCGTAGTAAAAATCAAAATACTAGGAAAAGCGTTTGTCCGTGCAAACTAAGATCCTAACAGTGCGTTAAACTTCAGAAGAGTAAATGCTCTTTTAGATAAGAACTTCAGATATTTTAATTAAATGAAATTGGAATCATATCCTAGAAAACGTGGAGAAATATTAGTCTATAGACTTGGAGGCGAAGTTGCCCCATGATCGCGTGTTATTGTTATTACCTCCCAGGCGCTGCATCTCCATAGGAGGAGCGCAGACTGCTTTGTGGTTTGGCTGAAGAGTTTAGCGTGTGTTCCCGCTTGCGCGGGCCCGGATGCGGCGCTCCTGGGGACGAGGAGGTTCCTCGTCCCAGCTGTCGTCTTCACTGTGGGGTAATATGGCGAGCATACCCTTATCTACCGCAGAGGCACACCTCCCCATCGAGTGGCCGGTTAGCTCAGTTGGTTAGAGCGTGGTGCTAATAACGCCAAGGTCGCGGGTTCGATCCCCGTACGGGCCAAGGGGTGCTTTTTTTTTTTTTTTTTTGTTTTCGCTTGTCTCAGCGACTCCCTCCCACCCGCCGCACACAACGTTTCTCCTGAGACGCTCGGTATGACCTCTACACAAGGGCACGGCCGCGGGGCGGGGTGTGTGTGTAGGTCGAGCACCCGGGACGGCTGCAGCGCTGCCCGTGCTCCTGCGGCAGGAGGAGCCCGCCCGGCCCGGGCACAGCGTCCTTTTCTGTTTCTGTGGGGGCGGCTGCGGCGTGCTCGGGTCACTCCTTCGGGCGCCTTTTCCACCGTGCGGGTTCCGCTTCACGCACTCCCTGCAACCTGGTCGTTTGTCTTGCTCCCGAAACCCCGCCCAGTAACAGCGACTGTCGAAGCATAGAATCACCGAATGGATCAGGTTGGAAGAAACTACAATGGGAGACCTGGTCCCACCTCCCTGCTCAAGCAGGGTTATTCTGCACGTGGCACAAGATTGCGTCCAGATGGTTCTTGAATATCTCCAGTGAAGGAGACTCCACACTCTCTCTGCTCAACCTGTTCCAGTGCTCGGTCACTGAGCAGTAAAGTTCTTCCTCGTGTTCAGGTGGAACTTCTGTGCACCAGATTCTGCCCGCTGCCTCTTGTGCTACTGCTCGGCACCACCGAGCAGAGCCCGGCTCTGTCCTCTTGGCACCCCCACCCTTTAGATATTTATACTCATTAAATGAGGTCCCCTTTCAGTCGCCTCTTCTTGAGGCTCGACAGGCTCAGCTCCCTCAGCCTTTACTTGTAACAGAGATGCTCCAGTCCCCCAGTCGTCCCCGAGGCCGTCTGCTGGACCCGCTCCAGGAGCTCCATGTCCCTCTTGTACTGACACTCGGTACAGACCGCACCTGGAGCGCAGGGAAACGCAACTCGCGCTAACTCCACCCGCAGGTCCCACCTCCGGGGCCGGGTGCTGCGGACGCACCTCCGCCGGCTTTTGCCCGTGCGAGCCGCCGTCGGCTCCAGGCGGCCCCGCCCCGGGGGGGGCGCGGCGGGCGCTGCCGGGGGCGCCATTGGCCCCGTTGGCCCCGCCGCCGGTGCCCCGCGTGCCGCTGACACCGCCCGGGGCCGCGGATGCGGCGCCCC